GTGGTCGTGCCGACCGTGCAGGAATGGGACTGCCGAGTAGTGTCTGATCATGCGCTTTGAGGAACTGACGGCTTCACTACATGAGCGTCAGGCTCAATGTGCAGCGTTAGGCCCCATTCACACTGAGCGACATGAAAATCGCGCGTTTGAGCTATATTGCACGACGAGCGATATTGAGCGATTTATCGCGCGACTTTTTCCTATTGGGCTGTATGCAATCAGGAGCAATATCACTCGAAATAAGGGTCATGTAGGAGCGACAAGCTACCAGCGACGAGCTACAAGCGATATTGAGCGACGAGATGTGAACAGCTCCATTGAAATGGATAGGAGAAGCTACATAGAACGATATCGCGCGGAAATATGAGCGATATCGCTGCAAAAATCGCTCAGTGTGAATGGGGCCTTATGGACCCCTTGGATTCTATATATGGGCACAGCGGCATTTTTGGCCTTGTAATGGGAGTGGACCTCTTGTGTTGGGAGAGACTGGTGCACCGTCGCTAAGGCGCCTATTGCCACTGCAGCCCCATCTAGTTTGCTGGAGCCTCCCTTTTCCCCTCTGTCTCCCCCTTAGGCCCCATTCACACTTGGCGATTCGCAAGTCGCGCAAATGCTTGCATTGAGCAAGCTTGAATCGCGGCTAAATCCGCTCCAAAAAGGGTCCTGCTGTAGCAACGCACGAGCCCCGGTCGACAGCAGGAGCCTTTGCCCCATTGAGAAGCATTGAAGAGCGATATCGCGCGGTAAATAGCCACGATATCGCGGGAATTACCGCGCGATAAATCGCTCAGTGTGAATGGGGCCTTAGTGTCTACTCTTCATGTCTCTTCCACCCCGGTCTTGTGTTGTGTGCATACTTTCCCCCTCACATGCCTATGCCTTACGTTGTCTGGTCCGATGGGAGAGGACACGGCCGTATCATCTCACCACATGCCCTATATGGGGAATGCACGGTAGTGCCGACAGGGCACATGCTTCTTACAACATGCTGATGCCCCGGTGTCTCACGGTACATACGAATTGATTAAGCCGAAGGAACATAGGACATACCTATCCTAACTACATATGTGCCATGTTGGAAGTTACTGCGTATGAAGGCAATATGTGGATGGTCAGACCTGCCTGCCCTATGTATCAATGTATTTATGCCTGTATGTATTTCTGTACTTTTTGTATTGAAAAACAAAAAACAAAAAACTCTTATTTAAAACAAAAGGACCCCAAAGTACTGACTTGCATGGACAGTCCCAGCCGGTGAATTCAAGGGAGCAATAGTTACCGTTTTTGGGAAGCATGACTTCCTCCATGTTGGGGACGGGTGTGGGGTCCTCCATGTCTTTGGTCAGATCCTCCTGCTCGTCCTCTTCCTTCTGCCATTTCCGCTTGCCATAAAGGCCGCCCTGACTACAAGGCGACAAGCAGCACAGAGACCGTCACAGAAGTGAAACCAATCAGGACACCCGTTGCCATGGCGTAAAACCCCGGCCGCACTATTCCTCACCTTTTCTTGCCGGGCTTCTTCCGGGACTCGGACGGGGTCTGAGGGGAAGGGGACCGCTTCCTTTTCTTGGGTGCGCCAGCAGACTTCCGATCCTTCCGCTCAGGACTGCGCAGGGACTAATGGGAATGTGAACACAAACAAAATGAGCGGGAAGCGGAATGAGGAGAGCGGGGCTACCTAAATAACGCAGAGACCACGGAGGCCAGTACTGGAGCCCCAAAGGCATATGGAGGCCAGGCTATGCTAAAGCTGACCTCCGGCCTTCCCTTCCATCCTGTACCGGCTCCTCTCCTGGACTAATATGGCTTCCTCTGATATCACTGCACACTGAGCTTCTCACAATGTGCATCAGAAGCTGCAGCAAGTTAGAGCCCGCCTTATTTCCTGGCTGGAGGACCTTCATCATCATCTAGACTTTTCCTCCCCAGCCCGATTATCCCTGGCCCCTCCCCTTTCATTGGATTTCAGTTCTTTCAATTATGGACACTGGGCTGAACATCTCTGACGAGCAGACGTTTCCTGTGCAATGTGCAGAAGTCACAGGGAAGATCTGACGGGGAAAATATCTCCCGATCGGGTCCGGTCACCTCGTCATTCTTTAGAGAGATCCTCTGCCGGAAATTGGTGGCCTTCTTATTCTCATCCACCTCGTAGTCCTCCTCGTTCATCCACTCGTTGAACAGGTCCGTGTCCAGCAGCCACTTTGAATGAACCTAGGAGGTGAAAGAAGGATGACATTATGAGAAGAGGTTCAGAATTCCAGACTCTTTAAAAGGAGAACTATGAGGGGGGGGGGGAGGGGTGCTTTTCACTCACCTCATAGTTCGGGGCGACATGCGACAATGAGACTGTCACAGGTCGGCTCAGTAGATCGGGAAGTGAGAGAACACATACCGGCGTTTGCTCACCTCTCGATCCTGTCACGGCTCTCTGCCATGACGGGCTTGATTCCCCGCTCCGATCCTCCAGCGCTGACTGGCGGAATGGACGGGGGAGGGGGCGGGTACAGCTGGCTCTGCCTCTAGATAGGCGGAGCCAGCTGTCAGTCACGCAGCTGGGCGGATCTCGACATCGATGTCGGGATCCGGCGTCTCAGTATACCGCGAGCTGTAGCTCCCTATATACTGAGCTTAGGGTGACGGGAGGACGCTAGTTTGTGTCCCCCCGTTACCCTAAGGAGAACTATGGGGAAAAGCCCTGACCACATAGTTCTCCTTTAAGGGCCAGTTCACACCATATGCAGTTGTGATGAGGTCCTTTAGTTTGAATTCTGCAGTCAAAATACATCACAATGCTTTCCTATGGCCTTTGTGCTTAAGTCACACCATTGCAGTCAGAAAAAAAAAAAGTACTGCTTGTACTATTTTACATGCATGTAACTGCACTGAAACGCAAAAAAAAAACAAAAAACACAAAAACTTGATTGTGGCATCATCCAGGGACATAAAAACGCATCCCAAACACGTCAAAACGGATCGCAATGCAACTGCGCAGAATCACGCAGTTGTGAGATGCAGTTTCTGGTGTGAACTAAGGGTCCTTTCACACCATCAGCAGTGTGGTCCGATTCTGGCCCGGAACGCACAGCCCGCTCCCTTTTTTGCTAGGCAGGAGGGGAGGCGTGACGGGCCATTGAAGTGAATGGTACCCTAGCCACGCCCCGCGGATGCAATGCGATTGTGCGCACGGCAACTGCAAGGCACATTGTGCCTGCAGTGCGCTCTGTGCGATCAAAACGCTGCAAGCACCATTTTGATCGCCCCCCTCCAGCCCAGCAAAAAAAAAAATGGAGCCTGCAGCAATGCGGTCAGTGCGTTCCGGAACGCACTGCTGATGGTATGAACGAACCCTTACCACTTCAGTACCGGCCTGTATACACCCCTTCATTGCCAGGCCATTCCTCAGTCTCCAGGACTGCGATAGTCTGATAATCACTCGTCCTGCAACAATTCACCCAAATCTAATGTTGTATCTTCCTGTGACAGACGGAGCTTTCTTTTTGCGGTACTTATCCATCATTTCTTGTATACTACAAGAAATATGTTGTAAGAGGAAGGGGAGGGCTTAGCAATGTAAACACAGCCATGTGATGACAAGGCAGAGACTCGGTCCGATTGGCTCAGTCCCTGTAGCGGACGCTCTCTGCTGTCTGATCAGAGGTCAGTGTGTGTAGTTATGGGTAGGTCTCATGACATGGAGTATGTCCACTTAGAAGAACGGCCCCACCAACTGGATGTTTTTTGTTTACAATGGTCGGCATGGAAGTGGTTAAAGGGCGATTTATACTCTTCTCACCTTCCAAGGCTTCTCCGGAATTGGAGGGTCTTCAACTTCAGCGTCAAGATCCGAGACGGGCACCCAGGAGTCATAGCTGGGGACAAGCAGAAACCATGTGAATCCCATCCATCGCCCCCAACACAACGCTTTAAAGAGGACACCCCTCCCCCTACCCCAGGAAGGCAGTGGACCCCATTTTTTTAGGAACATAACGTTGCTGAACCTAGACGTGACCGAGTGAAGCAACCCCAGATCATAATGCCCAGAATCCCGGTGGTGACTTTAGTCCAGGCCGTGTATATACTCATGCCAACTACAGACCAAAACAGAGGCCATGACGGCTCCTGTCCTCGGATAGTAGAGGTTAGTTCCGCTTTAAGGACAACCTGCAATTTAGTCTGCCCGTACCGTGATAAAACTCTGCTCACCTGTCCGGGTAGTAGCCCCAGTGTACAAGAAATTGCTTCTCTTTCTTCATCACGGGTCTCAGCCATTCATCCGCTAAAAGGACAAAAAAAAACACAAGTATGAGCCGGCCTCCTCCATACAACTACCACCGAGGACAATGACCCAACAGGGCAGCTAGTTCCATCGCTGAAATACCAATCCTGCACAAGAGAGTGAAATCCCGACCCAAGGACGGTTCCCAGCCACTAGAGGGCGCACGGCGATTAAAATACGGACCAGAGGCTGTGGTCTCCAACGGCCATTTTGGAAAAAGCAGTGGTTTGAGATGCTGAGGTCAGTTGTCCACGGCTCGGAGATCTGAACCGCAGAGCGCGTTAGGATTTATATCTAAAATAGTTTTGTTGTACACACGACAGGGAAGGGTTAGATTCCCCGTCTATTTGTCCTGCTGGTTACAGAACACAAACAAGACTGAGGAAAAACAAACTTGCAATGGGGACACCAGTTATGACAACAGAGATGGGATTTCCTGTCACTTCCTGCAGCGTCTCCGCAACGAGTGAAGACAAAAAGAAAAAACTTGGACGGACTTGGAAACCTCCTCCTCCATGCCCCCCTTGACGGACCTGGAAACCTCCTCCTCCATGCCCCCCCCTGC